TAGGGTAAACCAGTGTAATAATTTTGTGGTAAAAGTGGCAGTGAACTTGAAATGGGGCGAAGAGGACACGGTAACAATTTTACAGAAGTGCTAAAAAAGTAGCATTCACCTTTCTAATTTACTTCACACTCTACTTAGCTTGTGTGAATCACACTAATTATCTCTTGTCACCAATGGAGGAGCTCGATCTAGTAGCTAGCAGCATAAGCACGTGCTTGATCATCTTGCACCGTCCTCTATTTTCTTCGTTGGCTCTTGGTGGTACACGTCTAGATGCTATTTTTGGTTGGTTAAATATTTTACTACTGACGCGATGCTTGATCGATTCGTAGGAGCATAAATATTACTGCTACTGACGCAAAGGGATGCTATTTTTCCTTTTGCAGAGCACAAAAATCACTACGCAATATTTAAAAGATTCAGTCAGGTCAAGAGCATACATATATTTACGTGGGGAATGTTAGTGCCTGGCGGATCTAGCTGATGGGTCATTGGTCGTCACCCCATGTGTTAAATCTGGGCCTAAGGACACAATTCTCAGAAGATAAATTAAGCATTCGATTCCGTAGACAAACATATATGAGACAATATTCGCAGGATGTATCCACATTTCCACCCGAATTTTTCTTAAAGCCTTTCGAGATTTTCTTTCTTGGGAGAACTTTTGTAAGTTGGGAGGTGGTTTCTTTAATGAAATCACCGAAGAAGCTCGCTATTTAGGAACAAATACACCAGATTTTTCCTCTTCTTTTGAGTGAAGTGTTCCCTACATGCATGTATTTTCCATAAATTTTTGGAAACCCGGAGGATAACTGATAAACCGCTCCTTCTTTTGCTTGGAATAAACCAAAATAGTAATAATGTATGTATATCTCAACGTTTTAAGTACGTCTGAGTCCGGCTGGATATCTAGCCTTTTCAAAGCATCTAGCCATAGTCTCCTCTCTTTCTTTCTCCCTCGCATAAAGCTACAGATTCTTCCATTCCTTTTGGAAGATACGATAACGAGGTTCTTCTTCCATTGCCTCGGATGCATGGTCTGCAGAATGAATGCCAGCCATGCATGCATCGCCCTACACGCACATGCATCATTCTTCGGCGCACAAAAATTAAAGCAAACAGTGTTGTACTAGTACTGATTTAACGAATTGAGTAGTAGAATATTGAGACAATGTTAACATGCATCTCCATAGATTGTCTGCTAGGCATTAAGCCAATATCCATAGGCACTGTTGACAGCACTTTACCCACTAAGACATGTTTTTATGTTGGGCGATGTTATAGAGTGCTGGGTACTGCTGACTAAGTGGCTTGTCTCCCAACCAAATAATCTTCCACAAGCGTGTGTTGGAACCTTTCAAACGATGAAGGAGCATATCTATCTGCTGCTGAATAACTCCTCTTTGACACTGTGACCTATGCTATCTTAGATCATCTACAGTCACGATGAGCAAATCCGGTCCCTTAAACGCCCGCGGATGTGTTCGCGGGCACCCATCAGATAATGTAATCCACATCCGGACACCTCAATTATCATATCTTAAATCCATACAAACTCATGCAACTACATCGATGTACACACATCGTTTGGCTACTCCATCACTACTAACTAAACATGCCATCGTATTATCAAAATATGGCATGTTTGGCTATGGTGGAGTTCATCCACGGCTGCCCTTGCCCTTCCCAGCGCCCTTGCCGCCCTTCTCGCAGAAGCACTGGTCGAAGACGTGGTAGGGATCAAGACGGATCTGCTCGTCGCCGGAGCCGTCCTCACCGTCACTGTCTTCCTCCTCCTTCAGTGGCAGTCCATCCATGGCGCAGTCCGCCCGATTCTGCTCTCGGGCGAGGGCGCACGTATTCCTCCGCTGCCGGTTCTTCATAATGCGGGCGCGAATGACTTCCTCCTCTGCGGACACCCATGCCACCGCATCAGCCGCCTTCACTGCCACCATTTCCGTCGCGATAAAGGCCTCAGTGGCTCTTATCCTCTCCTTCCCACAACGGCCGCCCGTACCCGGTGGGACTCATAGTCTGCCTGACCGGTGATGGGGAAGGAGAGGGGTTCCGCCTGCCGGGACCGCGATGATCTAGCCCCAGAGGACCCGAGCGCCCAGTCAGCCGATGCTATGGAGTTGCGGCAGACAGATCCGTCCGTCAGCCGGGCGCTGTCCTCCCGGGAGCGGCGGAGTGCAATGTGGACTGCCATTGCCTCCTGCAACCCGCATGGGATGACACCCCAGTCGACGGATCCGGACTGGTCGGAGTCGGATCCGTTGTCTGCCATGTCGGAGACGGCCGGACACCCCCGGAGATGTGCTCGGCTGGTGGAGGGCAGTGGAGTGGAGTGTAGTGAAGTGGCTAGGGTTTGGTCCGGGAAGCGGATGGGGACGAATATGTGTGGAGTCGGGTGGGCCAGCATGGGCAGGGTACGACGTGGTGGGCATGCCTGGGCGTCCTCATATCCGCCCCATATTTGAACCGGATATGAGGGCTGCATGTTAGACCAGGCATTTGAGGCCCATTTGAGGCGTCCGTCTAGGTTGAAAAATCGTGACCGGACAGTGGTTGGGTGGACCGCCCGAGCGTTTGAGGAGGGTTTGGGGCGCCCAGCTGTAGATGCTCTTACTAGCTAGGGGAAATATATTGCTTCACGGTTAGAACTAATACTTAGTGCGCTAGCGCCTTGTAAACAGTTATACATACTTTGGCATATAAGTGGACATTTGGTAATTTTTGTTTAGGTCCGCCACTTTCCGTGACAGTGTTTAGTTGTGAAGATATTTTGTCCCTTGCAATTCTTGTCACACACCATGCGCATGAGCACCTTAAAGAGCCACTTACTCAGCATGCATTTATTTTTAACCTACAAATTCTCCTCTCTAAGGTCATCTCAGTCCTTCGGTCTACGAATAATACTCCACCTAGTCGACCTATTTCATTTATGTTTGCCACTCTGACAGAAAAACATGGACCTGTAGTAGTCCATTCTTTTCAAAAACATGGGGCTTCCAAAAATGTATGGAAATTTACATGTGAAAAAGGGGAAGCGACCCTGGCTCGCAACAAAAAAACAGTTGTTTTGATCTTTGTGCTTTTTTTTTTGGCTCGCACATAGCTGAATATTTCGCTCCTATGAAAGTTAATCTAGAGGTCGGATAATTGTTCAAACATCCATAGAATCTGATTCACATTTCAATGCCTATTCCATACCAGGTTCTATAAGAATTGTTCGACACACTAGAAAATGGAACCCCCGACACCAACGCCATCAATTAACACATCCCCCTTAACCCTTCTTATAAGAATGATGAGCAAATCTACAATGACGAACAAATGAACACAAATACATGGATCTCCTTCTCCCAAACCCTTATTCATCTAGAAAAGTGGCCAATGTCATCATTGATCTTATTTCCCGCACTTCCACCTTGGGAAAAAAATTGCAATCCTGACTAGTGATAAGTGGACTACCTGGACCCACCTGCCATATTTAATGACTATCAATCTAACCTAGGATCTAGACGAGTATTGGTGTAATCTTCATACTTGTGGATTTTTTTCTCTGAAATCAATATATGCCACCTTGGTCTTGGTGTGCTTTATGATTAAGCAGGGATATTTGGAACTCAAATTTACTTTAATAAGAAAGTTTCCAACTTCTTGTTGGTACTCACTTTAGCGTGTGGGGGTGCTGGATTCGTTGGTCTTTTAATGAATTGGAAATGGTAGCGTAGGCTTATTCAACCGACATGGATGACAGTCTAGCAATAGGATTGATGTAGCATATCTGTGAAACGTAATCCCTATTGTGGTTGGCGTAGCTTCTAAGCTCGAGATATGTTTATTCCTTGTATGACCTAATACTTTACAGTAATAAATAGCTAGTGCATCAAAGTATGGAGAGCCGACGGGTTCCCCTCCTCAGACTACAAAAGGTTGGCAATAAAGCCATGCCACAAGCATCTCCGATGTTATCAAAATAAACTAGCTAGTTAAATAGTTCTCCCTCCATTCCAAAATAAGTGGCATGGTTTTAGTTCAAATTTGAACTAAAACCATGGCACTTATTTGGAAAGGAGGGAGTAGAAAGCTAGCTCGGTGTACAAATCCTTAAATTTCCTTTGGTAGGTGACAATGTCTTTTGGATAGCCGGTCTAGTATGCCAGTCATGCATGGCTGAACATATTGGCGCACACAAGAAATGTCCGAGTAATGTAAGGGAATGAGGAGGTATTGGGGCTACACTTCTGTGAAATTTGTCCAAGCAATGCACCCTAAAAATCCTTGAAAAAGTATTAGGGGCTGCATCTAAAATGGGTTTAGGCATTATCTTTTTAGATTATCTCTTAGAGTTGCTCTAATGCTAGTCGTGCATGCATATGGGCCAACACACAATGATATAGCATTCCTCAGCGCACACAAATTAAAGCAAATATTGCTGTACTGATTTAACCATTAAAGTTATAGAATATTGTACACATGCACATCCATAGATTATTTGCAGGGCATGAGTTGATACCTTTAATAGTCTTACTACAAACATGTCTGATGCTATCGTTTAAGGAACTAAATTAGCTAGCTAATTCGTGTAAAGCTAGCTAGATGCACAAATTCTTCCATTTATAATGCTAGATGATAATGTCTTGTTCCATTAGAACTTTTGGATGGCCCGACTAGATAACTAATGCCACTATACCAGTCATGCCTGGCCGAACATATTGCACACAAAGTTAAAGCAAATAGTGATGTACTGCCGATTTAACTAGTTAAATTGTAGAATATTGTACACATGGATCTCCACGGATTGTCTGCAGGGCATGAGTGGAGGCCATAAATAGCCCTGCCACTAGTATGTCTTTTGCTATAAATCCAGGACCTAGTTTAGTTAGTTAATTAGTATCACACTCATCATATAGCTTTTTTCCGAAAAGGAAGACAAAGCCCCTCTCACCATACATCGAGCTAGTGAACTTGATTGTGTTGATCAAGAGAGGAGAATGGATTGGAAGCCTATAGTGACGATGTTGGCGGTGGTGACCGTGTTCGCGGTGATGAACACGCTGACAAAGATGGCTTTTAACGAAGGGATGCACACCACCGTCCTCATCGTCCTCCGCCAGCTCACCGCCACGCTCTTCCTCGCCCCGATCGCCTACTTCAAAGAGAGGTTCGTGTCAGCACTAATTATGTCGTTGCAAATATAGACCAGGAGCAATGAAAGCTTTTATATTTTCACAAGATACTAGTTTCTGATGTTGAGTTTGCTAATTTCTATGTGGTTTTCATGTATATATATGTAGGAAGACTAGGCCTAAGATGACCACAGAGATCTTCGTCTACCTCTTCTTGAGTGCCTTGCTCGGGTAATTAATCTATTTTGCTTAATTACACCAAGTGTTGACAGAGCTTAATCTCTTTTGCTTAACTATAGCAAGAGTAACAAGTGTTGACAGAGCTTAAATTTCGTATGCTAATTAATGCATGGCAATGGCATGGCAGAGCGTCACTGACCCAGTGGCTCTTCTTCTTCGGCCTGCGGTACACGACGGCCACGTTCGCGAGCGCCTTCATCAATATGACCCCCATGTTCACCTTCCTGCTGGCGCTGCCCTTCAAGATCGAGAAGCTCGACGTGACCACCGGCTCCGGCGCCGCCAAGCTCACCGGCACGGCCGTGGGGCTGGCCGGAGCGATTTTGATGGCGCTCTACCAAGGCCCGGCCCTGACGGGGACGCGGACCACAGACCACCACGCCGCCGCAGCTGCTTCCCACGGCGGCGCGTGGAGGTGGGCGATCGGGTCGGCGGCGCTGCTGGGCGGCTCGGCGAGCTGGTCGCTGTGGTTCATATTACAGTCCAAGATTGGCACCAAGTACCCCGCTCTGTACTCCAGCACGGCGTGGATGTTCCTGCTGAGCACCGCGCAGATGGCCGCCGTCGGTGCCGCGACGGAGGCGATGACCCTCCAGGTCTGGCTCCCCGGCACGGCGCTGAAGGCCGTCACAGTGCTGTTCGTGGGCGTGGTGGGGTCCGGGCTGGGGTTCCTGGCCATGTCGTGGTGCGTGGAGCGGCGGGGGCCCGTGTTCACCACGGCGTTCATGCCGCTCATCCAGATGATCGCCGCCGGGATCAACGTCACGGTGCTCCGCGAGCAGCTCCACCTCGGGAGCGTGGTCGGGTCGGCGCTGGTCGTCGTGGGGCTCTACTTGGTCCTCTGGGGGAAGAGCAACGAGGCCAGCAGCAAACCCAAGCTGCCTCCTCCGTCACATTCCAAGCTCGCGTTGGATGAAGAAACAGAGCATGGTGATTCACGGATCATGCAGAGCGTGTGATGAGCCGCTGCGTCATGGTGACTAAGGTGCAACTGTCTCTCGGCACCCAAAGGAGGAGGACATAGTTCGCTATTTTCTTCCATCTTTCTTCATCTTTCTACTAGAATCAAGTGAACTATAGATAGGTTATTGGAAATGATTCACGTGGATTAGTCAAAGTGGATTATTGTTCGAACGGGTAAAGTTTTTTTTACTTTTCAATACAAGGCTTTACACTCCTCACTTTAATTTAACAAAGCTCTTGACGACTATAGTGCAACTACAAAGTGGAAAAAAGCAAGCAGGAGATAAACAAGTGGTTAGCTCTCCCGCCCCGCGTCGCCTTACAAGCGACTCGGAAGGAAACCCTACCGACCGCCGCCACCACCCACCTCCCCCTCTCCCCTCCCTCGGCGACGGCATGCCTACGCGTTGCTGTTGCCGCTTGGTCTCCCAAGGTTCGTAGTGGCCTAGCCCCAACCCTAGGTCAGAGGTAGCGAGGCCTCTTTCTGAATGCCTTATTCTTTGACGGGGTCATTGCTAGTGATGTTGGAGCCTATGGGTATCCTCCTCCTTGGACCCGGAGGGGAAGGATATTTGGAGCATTAATTGGGAAATACCGATTTATGAGTGAATATTACGTCAATTGACAAGATAATAACATACCATATGAAGCACCGACCAAGGGACAAACCGGTCAAACATAGACACCATATGGTGTGTGGTACGGTCATACCTGCTCATATCAGTGGTAGTACCGTATGGTGCCGCCTCCCCTTGGTGACTACTTTTAACTCTGCATTATTAGAACTGAGAGAAGACAAACATAGACACCATAACCATGAATCCTCACCTTTGGGATGGATTTGGAAGGGGAATCAGTAGAAGGGCACCACCACACCATCATACTGATTGAGGAGACGTCGACATCAACATACATCACCATCTCCATCCGCATCTCCATAATTTTACTGTGTTGTCATACCGAAACCTAGCGTGGATTCATATGTGTGTTACACTAATCATTCATCTGCAATTGCCATGAATACTTTGATAATGCTTGTTGTCTCTATATCTGAGTAATACCCCAAGTTCTGGGGGATATGGAGTAACTCTAGTATGTGTAGGAGCTAAAAACTGATAAGATACAACGTTCTTTTCATATGCTTACGTTAACTATTCTTCCCAATGCCGAGTGAAGTCAACCACTCAACATCTACCTTGATGTACGAAAAGGATGTTACCGTCTTTGCGAAGGTGGGTTGAGGAGGTATTGCGGTGAAATAAGCTATTTCCCTCCTTCCCTGGCCATTGATAGGAGATCAATGGAGACCCCCTTTATTACGACCACTCGGGGATCCTTAATCATCATTGCCATCAGCCACATAGGGAGGAAAGGTGGTAGCGTGTCCGATATGGAGCTACACTGTATGCATGTGCCTGTACTTGGCTCCGCCCACCTATAAAATCATGTAAAGCGTATTAGTTATCTGGACCAAGAATTATGTGTTGGCATAATTAAGTAGCAAACATACAAGTGGGGAATCCAAACTCCTTGAGAACGCCTTAGCCTTAGTGCAGATTTCATCACTATCCTTACTCCTTTTGTCTTTGTTACTACTTTCGGCACTTAAGATTTCAGTCACTCACCGTTGCAATATTTCCACCTCCATGCCGCTTTTGGCTTAGACAACAATTTACTTGGAGGCACATTCGAGTAAATCTCTACAAGAGGCAAAGACCATTTCACGTGCTTCATGTGGGATTGATACTATTACTTTGAAAGGGCTATAACTAAACCTTATGATACTGTAGGACATAAAAAAATCTAGTGTACTAATTTATTTTGCCAGTCCTAACAAACCATGGTCCAGTTTGAACATGTGTATCAACTCACGACAATAAATCTCTTGGGACCACCTATTTAGAAAATATTTACATCTTTAGGACCAGGACCAAATGGATTTTTTTCGAATTAATCCGTATTTACTTAGGAAGCTACGAGGTAAACAAATTACAGGCAACAGTACAGAGGATCCGTAACAATACTACAACCCTTTGATGAAATGTATGGGATATTTAAATTCAATGCTTTCACATATGATGAAATAAAAATTGAAATTATTTGGGTTGACACTAACCGTCAAAGCAAAAGCGTTGGTTATATAGCCATCCCGCAGGTACCTTTGACACTTGGAAAAAGCTTGAAGTGATGGTCTCTAGCAAGCTTTGTTAACAGATTAATTCCATCTTTTGACCGGATCAATCAAGGACATGATGGTTCAAAACCTAAAATAAAAGGAGGTATGGGTATGAGGTCTTAATGCTTACAACCATTGTGTTCAGATCAGATATGATCTTAATTTGTGTGCTGTAAGTCACCCATCGAGATGTGTTATGAACCGAAGTGGCGGATGTGTCCAAATAACATCTTGACCGGCACGAGTCCTGCATCAGGAATCAATTGTCCTACCGCCGGCCCTATCCGTCGCGCGGGGTTGCCACGATAATTAAGATAATAAATATTAGATAAGAGCTTTGGGCGTTAAATGACTACACCTCATGAATCCCCAAGCATTGGATCTGTTTTACCGTACTAAACCCTTCTATCACTCGTGTTTAGAATAACACTTCACATTCTCCCTGCACTTAGCCTCACAGTTGCTCGATCTCCATGACCCTAGGTACCTACAAGGATGAAGATCGCGGACAAGACAAGAGACATCTAGGGAACAATTTTATTTCACACATACATGTTGTTAATTCAAAGATCTTCCATTGACCCCCACAACAAATACAGAGGGTTGCATGGCCTATGCCTCAAACCATACCATACCGAACTATTCATACATGGAGATTAGATCGCAAGAAGAAAACATTTCAAAACACATCTTGAAGATTGATTGATTGCAAATATGTCTTACAATGGAGTCCTTATGCGATGCACAATTACAAGTATGAAGTAGATGGTGTTGGCCTATGGTGGTGATGGCGGCTTTGGAGATGGAAGTGTCGGCGGCTAAGGTTGATGAAAGGGGATGATGATGGTTTTATTTTGGCTTCGTTCGACTCCCTCCTATGTTGACATTTTGATGGGGTCCCCTTTACAAAAGTTGTTCAGGTACACGAGCTGCCTCGGAATCCACGTGGTGCCCATATGGAATGCCTTCTTTTGGTCTGTGGCAGCTGGTGCGCCTCCTGGTGATTGCTTCTTCCTTCATTTCCATTCCTTTCCATGTTTTCACATGATTTCTTCCCCTTTTAGCCCATTTCATGTGGAAACACATCAAAAAGAGTATTATGGAATTCTTTGCATTCTTTAGTCATTAGTAGCAATATCGGAGCAAATATCTCTATTTAAACTAAGGGTGAATGTGTGTAAAAATATCACTCATCGGTATGCTAGTGAGGGACTGGCCACTAGCCGAAAGGGGGGAATGGCTAGAGTGGTATATTTATGGAGACCCCCCTGCTTTTGTGACAATATTGAAGGCCATACGTATACTCATGAAGTAAATAGAGTATATCCCACACATTCAGCCACTCAGTATGAATTAGGCCTAGATTTAATTGGTAGCATTAATTGTACTCCCTACAATATATCTCATCCAGCCTGTGAAATTAATAGGACATGTTTTTAGTGTACCAAAGTGAACCAAAAGATTTCCCATATTCCTCTTATTTAAGAGCAATGGAATAATGAGTCGCTCTCTCTCGCTTTCTCTCTCTGCCTCTCTCTCTATTAATTGGTAGCATTAATTCACTCACTACAATATATCTCATCCAGCCTGTGCAATTAATAGGACACCTTTTTAGTGTACCAAAATGAAGAAAAAGATTTCTTATATATTCGTCGTATTCAAGAGCAATTGAATAGTTAATTATTCTCTCTCTCTCCCTCTCTCTCTCTCTCTCTCTCACCAGGCGCTACTATCGGGGTTTAGAAGCCAAGAAGAAAATCCGCATGTAGGTGGCATCTATAAGTAGAAGAAAAGATGAGGGGAAACAACATAACAATACTCCATCCTTGAGTGAGTAAACACTATAACAGTTTATAGGTTGTGAATTCTCTCAAGCTTGCAGTGGATCATCTTGCTGAGGGTGTCCACTCGTTGATGGCGAGAAAGATTGGAGAAGTTCATGATGGGCATACCACACAGTCGGTATAATTCCTTCCCCAATCTGTAATGATGGCTAGTTGAAAGTTTTCTTTCACACTTTCTTGCTACTCCAAAGATTAGTATCATATTTTATTGTTGGAAGAAATTTATGAGAACATTATGATTTGTATTTCCTAGGAGAAATTGAAATAGATCTTGCATGTGGCTTTTATTTGCCTATTCGTTAGGAAATATTGAAATATATCATGGAATTCATCCATCTAGTTTTAGATAAGTGTGACCTTACTTGATTGATAGACTGTTGTTGTTTCTTTATATTGACTCCAACATGTTTCTCCTAGATCTGCTTATATAGAGGTATTCCCTCCGAGTTCTTAGGCCAGTCTCTCAATAGAATCTTGTACCAATATCAATTTTATCAAAAACTATGGATTCAATCTAATCAACATAATCCTTCTTTACATTCTCAAAATCCACAACTCTACTGCTTAATTGTGTGAGGATTTCCAATTTCAATAGCTCACATGCACATACATTAGTAGAGAGACCCGGAGTAGACCTTGTGGACAGAACAACTAATTGAAGACAGATGCCAGTGTGGCCACGAGACATTATTACCAGTGGGGTTGCGAAGTGAAACTGACCAAAATATTAAATAGACTTGAGCCTAGGAAAATAAAATATGAGGGAGTAGCTTTTCATTGTTAGAGTTGTCACTCATTCTTCCCAATAAATTACCATTGGATTTTCAGGCACTTTTTTTTCAAGAACCGCTGTTGTAAGTCGTTGACTCTATGTTCATAATAGGACCTACAAGCATCGGAAATTCATTTTGAAAACCAACACATGTGATCCTTTATCTAGAATGGCCTCTTCTATAGAACATGTACCACCTAGTGT